TCAGAATCACATCCAATGTAAGAATTAATATATTAATAAAAGCTGACTAGGAAAGGAAAAACATCTTTGACTATGAGATGATTCATTGTTCACTAGAACAATATAATAACCATTTTATCCTTTTCAAAAAGTTGAGAAACCAGTAATTAGGAGGCAATACAATTTTTTTAGAAGGTTTATTAGTCATAATCAGATTGATCAACGATGATTTAGTATTTTTATATTTTTCAAGCACAGTAAAATGAATAATTTACCTTTGACATAAAAATTTTATCACTGGCATTTAAAGGTTTTTTTTTTCTAGTTTTTATTTTTTAAAATGTAATAAAATGACTAAACTACCATTAAACACAAAAATTATTTAACTATCACCTAATGGCTTTTTCATAATTCTATCTTGGTTTCTTTTAGTTATAATTAAGCTCTCTGAAAAAAAATGTGGTATTTTAATAAATATAAAATATAATTTGAAAACTAAAACTAGTTGGTAGGTGCATTGCACTAATCAGAGCATAAGTTGTGTTCAAGTTAAGCATGTAGTGAATTTCAATTACTAAATCTTTGATGTTGGACCCTCGCTTTTTAGATGGTATGATTAGTACTTAAAAGTGCATTTTTATCATGGTTTTATATCATCATTTTGCACTTGAAGTATCAATAACTCCTTAACCAAAGCATGTTTTATAATAATATAACTAATAATATAAGATACCTTTAATTTATGGTAAATGTCTATTTTTAATGCAGGTCTATCACATAAATGAAAGGATTGATTGATGACTTGAAGAACTTAAATTGCATGGATAAAGAGATGGTCAAACTTAGAGAAGAGATGTCGGTGCAATCCAAACCGGAACACTGTTCGGTAAATGGGTCATATCTGGAGCTATATATCTCAGATTTAGGTCAAATTTATATGGATGGAAAGGTAAGACATAGGCCTACAACTTTCATATGGAGCCCAAGATCTAAAAAGGCCATTATCAAGTCCAAATTGTAGCAACAACAAAGAAGCCCGAATCTGTCTTCCAGCCCGAGCACTGTTCGGTATTTTGGCCATATCTGGAGTTCTAGAAGTCCAAATGAGCTAAATGTTTTACACAAGAAAGCTGAGACAATTGCCTACAACTTTCATGTTTGCAACTGGCTCCAGTTTTGACGTTATCAATGACGTTTTGGGCAGACAAGAGAAGATAAGGATTGTCACCAAGTCAAAAGTTGGTCACCCACTTATCAATTAGTCATCAAATCAATAGTTCCCATTTTTGGCCTATAAAAGGAGGCATTTGCCATGCATTTAGGCATCTTGGTGTTCAGATCAAGATCATGCTCTTCCTTTCTCTCTTTGTATTTTTTATGCTTTGTTTTCATTAATATTAAGTTTATGCCTTTCATTTCCTTTCCTTTACTTAGTTAACTTTTATGTTCTTATTTTGTTTATCTATTTTGCTTTCTTTCATTATGTCTAGCTAAGTTAATTATGTCAAGGTGAAAAGGTTACACTAATGGTGTAAGAATAAGTATAATGTAAACTTAATATGGACTTTAATGTTTGATACTAACATGTTTTATATTTGTTATCTTGTTCA